CCGAAAAGTGGGATCGAATGGCTTGCGGGGAAATTGTGGTAGGAAGCCTCAGGTGTCGGAGAAGCCGGCGCACGCTAACAAACGCGCTGCGTCCAGTCCGACCCTTCTTCAGAGAACCGGGCGCCGGCTGCGGGACGGGCTGCGGAGCTGAGAGCGAGCGGGCGAGGCAGGAGTGGACGGGAGCGACCTGGGAGCGAGGCGGAAAGGCTTCCCAGGAGACCTGAGCTCATTATTTGTCCAGGACCAGAGCTCCTGGCGGTAGAAGTTGATAAAGATTTCGAATTATTTAAAAATCCCGACCGCAAAGTCTGAAGTCTTGTTTGGGACGGGGAAACAGAAGCCGCGGGGCGAATAGGGACTCCCTTCTCCGTTTGGTGTTTGGAAGGGTAAGCGTGCGCGCAGTTTTAAACGAGAAAAGGGCGATTTTCGGCGGTGAGAAAAGAAAACTTAGAAGAAACACACTCACAGAGACACACACACCGCGCGCGCACGCACGCACACAGACCAAACTCTTAGGTGGAACGGAGCAGGGATTCCTGGGTCTGCGACTTTTCCGGGAAGGCGCACAGAGATGTAGCTAGCTCACCAGCAGGGGGCACGTTTTCTTTAGGATTGCGCCCGCGACTCTTCAACCCTTGCAGCCAGACTTGCTCCCAGTCCCCTCGCCGGAAATAGCGCTGCAGATAATAACTCTCTAGTGTCTGGAAATGTTTAATTACCACGAACGCGCATTCCTGCCGCGCCGCCCGCCGGGGACGCAGCGCCACGGGTACGGTAGGTGCTACGGCCGGCCCGTGGGGGTCCACTCTAAAGCGCACACGCAACTAACTCCCCCTCCCCTCCCAGCCCCACCAGGCTGCCTCAGTAGATTAGACACCGCCTGGTTTCTAATGTAACTGTTTCCACCTTGGATAGGGGAAAAGCCCAGCAACCTGGCTATGGAGACCTGTTCTGGGTCAAAGGTAGTTCTGACAACTCAAATTTGTGCAAAGCCCACCCCGGCTTTGCACACACGTTTCACGTTTGATGCTCACCACCAAAAGCATTGCCTCGGCCCCCTTTGACGGGTAGTGGTGCTCCAGAGTTGCTGCCATTCCACGCGCGCGTTCCTGTCCCTCGAGGCTGCCTCTTGCTAGCTAGAATCCACGTGCGTGGTCGTCCCTTCGACGGAGGAGACACCTAGTCCCCAGATGCTCCTGCGCGCATCCAGAACTTACGAAACGGGAACTGCCTGGGATCGAAGTGCACTTTCCCTTTCAGTTTTGATGCTGTAACTCCTTAGTCGCAGTCACCGGTCAACACAGCTCTCGCATTCCTCCGGGCATGTCCTCCCCTGAGGGCTCAGGCTGACTCCCATTTTCGGAGGTGCTATTGGCACCAATGTGTGCGTCAAAACTTTTCCCCAAGCTGGATTTTGACCTGATTGACCGTAATGGTTCCAGAGGAGCTATTGAACCCTGACAATCCGTCATTTAAATGCATGCAGAGGGACATCTAAATCTCCTGGTTATTTGAAGGGTCCCTTCCTGCGTGGGAAGTGGAAGGGGAGTCTCACGAGCAGACCCTCAGTGGTCCACAAGCCCAACAGTCCGCCAAGCAGTTGCAGGACATCTGACGTTGGAAGCATAACCTCTCAACTGCTAAGTAAATTCCATGTTAAAGAATGAGATCATTTTTGTGTCTGGGGAGTGCAGAGAGGGGAGGTTTTATTTTTGTTTGTGTTTAATCCAAACCAACCCGAAGAATACAGGCCACGCTATTTTCTGAAATATTCTATATTCTGAAACCCGCTCAGTTTCCACTCCTAAGACAAGCTGGGACTCTTTCTTTCCCAGGGAACCCGAGTCCAAACAGGGGCTGGGGTCGGGGGGCCGGGAAGGTGAGCAGTTGCTCACCACCCCAGCTGCACACAGTGTCCCCAGGAGCTCACCGGGGCGGCACCTGGGGGGGGACACTCAATGCCCCAGGCTGCAGCTCCGGCAGGGCAGATTCGGGATCCTTCCCTGACCGTACCCCACGGGGACTGGTGGGGCTCCGGACGGAGCGCGGGAGCCAGACCCGGCGGCCTGCTCTCCAAGGTGGGGATCTGCCCCTGAAGCGCCTGTGACCCCGTGGGCGCTCGCCGTTCCACCCAGCACGCAGTGGGTGAGAAAACCAGAGAGAACCGCAGCGGACTTGGTGCTGGGTCTGGGCGCTGGTTGGAGCCCCCCAGGATCCAAGCTAGCAGCTGGGCTCCCAGGAACGCGGCAGGCGTCCGACAGGAATTTTTCCACCTTCTCGGAGCTCTCGGGTGGGCAGGACGGTCAGGTCCAGGCAGCTGAGGGCATTCACCAAATTCGAAACGCAACATCCTCTTGAATCCTAAACGAATCTGACTTTGTTAAGAAGTGCCGCCGTGGCCCCTAGGTGTCCTGGGTCCTGCCCTCCCCAATCGGTCCAAGACGCGGTCCCGGCGTGATGCTGAGACCCAGACCCTTCTGGGTGCGTTCTATTTCTCTTTCGTTGGCGCCGCGGGGGTTCCCATCCAGAGCGTCTTCTCGCGCAACGCCGCGGGGGTCCTTCGCTCTCCGCACTTCTCCTGCCCGCCCCGCCCAGAGGGAACCCTGACGCAGGTCAGCCTCCGGCGGAGACCGGGGCGGGGGTTTGGGGTCGCTCTTCTGGGAGCTCAGAGTGGGAGGGGGCACTTTTCAATGCCTAGCAAATCTTGAATTTCGTTTCCCCGGCTCTCTCTGAGGTTGTGCGCGACCCAGGAGGCAGGCTTCTGAAACAGGCCCGCCCTAGAGGACACCGAGCGGTGCCAGAGCCCACGTTCCAGCGTCGCTGCGCTCGCTTCGTCGCGTCCTGCCCTTGCTGCCAGCCTCAAGCAGAGACTTCTCTGAGGGAAGCAGCCTGGGGCCTTGGACCACGAGGGATCGCAGCCAGCCTTGATTCCCCACCTTTCCCTACCTGAGTCAGGATGAGTTTTCAAGATAATCGGGAAAACACATTAAACAACCTGGTTTCACGGTTCTTTCTTTACGGATCCCACTAATTGGAACTTTCTGGGAGACTTGAGGCATGTTGGCCGAGTATGCTGTTGTAGAAAGGAGAGACAAGTGCAAAGATGGAGGAAGCTCAGCTGAGCTGCGAGGAGTTCAGAGCAGATGGGTGATATATGAGAGATCTCCAAAAAGTTCTAGGAAATGGGCATTATGGGGAAAATGGAAATGCATAGATTTCAAAGTTTTTGCACCAAAATAAACTTATCTTTTAATTCCATCTTCCCACAAACTTTTTGAGGTACCCTGATAGACCCCAGACGGTTCCATCCCACCTCAGTGTCCTGGCCTCATTTGCTGGCCTTTCTTGGAAAGCGTCCGTGGCTGGCAGTGTCCCCCAGGTTTTGCCTAATTGCAGAGCCTGAGGCTGGTACAGAAAGAGACTCTCTCATCCAAGATGGGAGCCAATGAGTCCCAGATCGCCCTGCCAGGACTCTCCAGGGCTTCCTCTTCTCTCAGAATTTGCTGCCCAGGAATCTCTTGGCAAATGGCAGTATCTACTACCTTCTCTGGTTAGAATGTCACCCCTATATTGGCAGCTGCTAAGACTTTGGGTGCACAAGCAAGCTTAATGGGTCTGTTAGTTCTGTGCTGACCTGTGAGGTGGAGCTGGTGAATGCAGTCCTGGGGTAGAGATTACACCTCCACATCCCCCTTCCTGCTCAAGCCCAGGTTACCCAGGGGTTAGAGGCAGTGAGAGTTCTAAAGGACCCAGGACCAGCCTCTGGGGGTGAGTGCATCTCCAGTGACCATGACGAAGGTCAGGGACCACAGCCCTCCAGTTACCCTGCAGAGAAAGTCAGATGGGCTTTGCAAACCAAATCTGGGGACAGTAGGGACTCCTGGGAAGGGAGGAGTACTGATGGGTTAGAGACCCTCTCTCGGGTGCTGAACAGTCACTTGGCAATAACTCCGGACAGAGATGGAGTGCAATGGTGTGAATCTGGACCCACCGGAGCCCCAGGAAACTGGCGCCTCCTCCTGTGGCGGACCCTGCCGGGGGTGTTCCAGAGAAGTGACAGGGAGGGCTCCGGTGGGGTCATCTGGAGGTCAGCTCCAGGAGATGAGCGGACAGGAGGGTACTGGAACCCTCCATAAGGCCTAGGCAATGAAGATAGAATTATTGGAAGCCAGGAATACCTACTCTTTTTAAGATTCCAAACTCCATCTGAACTTTGCTGACAACTGCATAGTTTGCATTGGTTGCCTTCCCGGCTCGCCAGACTCCCATCCATGCTGATAGCAGTAATCCACTGGAAAGCAGGCTGTGCTTGGGGGGGGACCCCAGAAAGTTTTGGGTCCCAGGAAAATAACTGGACCTCCTTATGCGACCCTCAGATATTTCTACTGAACCCAGAACCCAGGGAATGTGGTTAGCTGGAAAACCTCCAACGTTAGGACTCTCTCGAGTCGGTGACTGTGGCTCTAGCCAGCGCCACCCAGGTCACCGCACTGGCCCTAAGCACACTCTGATGACCAGAAGCTGCTCCACACCCGCGGTCTGCAGCCTTTCGGAAGGGATTTTGGGAGAATGGGTGACTGCTAGGCGCCACAGTGTGCCAGGGTCCAAGCTTCCGTGCCGGGATCCCAGGGCACACAGCTCCTACCCTCCCACCTAGCGGAGTACAGAGCAAGAATAGGACATGGAGACGCAGGATACCAGCTTGCTGTGGTCTGCGAAGGGCTGTTTGCTCTAGCGCACCAGGCAAGCCCTCCTGGGCTTAAAAGGCGAGGAGGGGTCGCGCAGGACTGCAGGGGAGGGGACGTAAGTCCGGAGAGGCCAGGGCCAAGCGAGTGCAGCTGCCAAAGTTGACCGCCCCGGTCAGCAAAACTTTGTGTCTCAGCGCGCAGGCGCAGGGCCGAGTTGGGGGAGGCAGGGAGGGAGGGGAGGAATCCTAAGGCTAGGGGCGGGGGGGGGGGGGGAAGGGGGGAGGAGGGAGGGTGGTGGATTAAAATAAGTAGGCGGCTCGGTGCGAAGGGATGAGTGAGTCGGAGCTCGGCCTCTCCCCAGCACGTTCTCAGCCGCTCCCGGTTCAGAGCCAGCGAGCGAGCGGCGAGCGAGGCTCACCATCCCCCGGCGGCCAGGATTCCGGGGCCGCTGAGCTCTCCCGCCTGTCGGGAGCTCGGAGCCCTCGGAATCCCCGCAGCCGGAGACTTGTCAGGACTTTAGAGCGCCAGCGGTGTCCGTGGGCTCCAGCGCCTCCGACTTCCCGGGCCCCTTGCAGCGAGAGCCCCAGAGACGCGGGACCTCCGCGGAACAAGGTAATTGCAGCCCGGACGCCCGGGCTCCGCCAGGGGAGTGCGGGCAGGACTCCCGGGTTCCTCGGCGCAGCCCGGCGGGTGCCTCCACTCTCCCAATGGCCCCGAAGGAAGTTCCCCTTGTCAAAGCCAAGGCTGCAGGACCTTAGTGAAAGTGAGAGTCGCCCAGGCTGGTTGGGGGCACTGATTCAGGGACCTGCCGCGCAGGGGTCCTGGCCTGCGACCTCGGCAGAGCCCGGGGCGAGCCTCTGCTACTGCCTCCAGCCTGGCGGGGGCTCCGTGGAACCCCGCGCGAGGTGGCCCTGGGCTTCGGAAGTCCGTCTGTGGGCCCCCTTTAAAAGATCAGAGCGACTTGGGCGGGCGCAGCCTTTGCAGAGGCGCTCTCCTAGCTCAGGCTGAGCATCTGGGGGCTGACTAAGGGAGGGAAAGTGAGGGGATGGCCAAGGCCGCAGGGACAGGTGCATGCCCTAGCCGAGTAGCGCTTTCTTGAGTTCTTAAGCGGAGTTGCGCTCTGGTAAGAGCCTGGCTGGATCCCGGGGCACAGGGCCGCGCATCTCACCCCCGCCTCAGACTCGCACTCGGTCTTAGGGATTCTCCCTGCAGGAGAATCCTGCTCTGCATCGGCCAGGCCTGGAGCGTGGCCCGCCAAAGTCCCGGTGTTGGGAGGCACGCAGGGGGCGCGAGTCTGTCTTCCCGGTACGAGACCCGCACGCGGAAACACTTTGCAGTTGCGGGTGTCTGCGGGCTGGGGTTTGGAAGGGGAGGAGGATTTTTTTCGCTTCCTTGCCTGTCCCCTAAACCCGAAGTTCAGGAGAAAAAGAGAAAGGCGAAGGAGGGAGGGAAAGAGGAGAGGGAATGCACGCTGAACTCCCTTTTCGCCGGAAACGCCTCTTACAAGGAGAACGAGCAACCCCATCTAGTCGCTGTCAGCAGCTCGGCCCAGCAGCGGGTGCGGTCTTCAAGTGCAGAGTAGCTGCAAGGGTTTCTTTGGGGCCATAATTTGGTATTTTCGCCCTAGCCAAGAGCTGCGCGTTTGGTCTTGGAAGGAAAAACCACGTGCAAGGCTGGTCTCTCGGGTGCACAGCCTCCGAAGGAACAGAAGGGCCGGCGGGGACTGCGAGCGGCTGGTGGGTCGAGATTCCATCCTGGGCTCCTCCAAGTCTTTGCGTTTCCATTATGAGCGGGGAGCGGATCGCCGGAGGACGCAGTCCGCGTCTCAGGGCGGCGCAGAGGCCGCCTCCTCCGTGGGTTCTCGGGCTCTCCTTCGTTGAGAGACTGCAAGCGAAGTATCCGGTGCTGGTCACTCCTCTCGGCGGGGGTCCGGACGCCTGTCACCGCCCGTGCTGGGTATTCGAGTCGAGGATGATTTTCTTGGGCTGCCGCTGGGCTCCTCCAGGCGCTTAGCCCATGGAGTTCGCTCCGTCCTCATTAATGGAAGCAGTTAACTCGCTCACGCTCAATTAGCCCCGAATAAACCACTTTAATAGACTCTGCACACTTCATTAATGCCCGACATGGGGGCTGGCGGCGGACCCGGGCTTGGCGACCCACCGCGCGAGGGACCCGAGTGCCTGTGCGGCTCAGGGCCCCGGGCCTCCCCAGCGCGGACTAAGCGCTACTTAGTTCGCGTCGTCCCGACCTGGGCGCGCACCTTCCAGGTTCTGAGGCCGCGCGGGGTGAATGCCTGGCCTGGGGAGGGGGTTTGAAGATCCCGCTTCGCTTGTAAGATCGAAAGCGCTCACCCTGGGGTACGCAGGGGCGCCGGGCGTTTGTTCTACCTCTCTGGCTGGAGAGGCTCGTGTGAGAGCTTTTCTCTTAGCTGAGGGCCTGGGACTGGGTCGTGCACTGGTCTCATTCTCGGTACTAGTGTGAAGAGCCACGTTTCGAACGAATTTCGTCCCCTGGATTCGAAGTGCTCCCAGGAAATCGGAAGCTGGCTGGGCTTGCTGTGTTCGGGGCTAACAGGATCGGGCAGAGAGCCCGAAAAGGTTGACTCCCCAGGGCCTTAAGGGTCGCAAGCACCCCTACTCCCAAACCCCTGGGGAGCCCGAGGTGTGGGAGGAGTAGGAGGCCAGGTCGGGCAAGGTCAGAGGGTTCTTCCAGCAGGGCACCCAGAGGGCTGGGTTCTGTGTGTGCAGCCCGGAGTCCTGCCGCCCCCGGGGCTCCCATGCCTTTGGAATAAGCCGAGCCCAGAGAGGATCTCAAAGAGGCCTCTGCCTGCCTGGCCGGCTCCTGGGAGCCAGAGATAAAGATCTGATTTTCAGCCTGGAGGGGAAGAAGAGGTGACAGCAAATCAAAGGGCGCTCATCTCTGCGAAGTCCCGGACCACCTTTGAAGTTGCCAGTCCTCTCCTCCTCCACTTTCTTCCACCCAAAGGGATCCCACTTTCCAACTGGTGCTTTGCTCCCTCTTGTCACGGTGCTCCGGGATGGTCTCGCTGGATCCCTGAGTGACCCGTGCACGCTCGGAGGAATAGAGGGGACTGGTGGGGGTGTCTGCTCCAGTTCTAGAGGTGGGATCAGGGCAGATATTGGCCTCTCCTGGCCCAGTGCTTGAATGAATCACAGAGGTCAGACTTGGGTTTTCTCCGTTTGCTAATTCAACCTGTGCAGACAAATCTCGGACAGCTCATGTCCAGCAATGCCTCTCCTTCCCAGCACCTCCCCAGCCACCATCCTGCCAGCTTCCAGGGGAAGATTTTTTTCAGGGACAGGATTACACTCCCTCCTCCCCTCAGACACAGGCGCTGTACATCCCTGGACAGAGCGGACTTCTGGAGCCTCGCTGCAGCGAAATGCAGCTGAGTCAGTTCCTGGGCCTTGCCTGGGGAAAGGGGAATCTGTGCTCTGAACTGGGGAGCAGAGCAGTCGTCTGCACATCCCAAGGGAGGAGAATTACCAGCGATTAGAGGAGAGGTCTGGGGAAGACAAGGAGAGCAATGAAGAGCAAAGAAAGGAGTTTGCAGTAGAGGACTGAGACGGGCAAAGAAGGGAACCCCATAAACCCTACTTGGTAATAACTTCTTGAAGAGCCCCAAGCTCAGAGCTCTGGGGTTCAGCACTTGGCAGCCCCAAGGCTCCTTGCTACACCCAGCTTTTCTTCTCCCATTTTTTTTTTTAAATCCACTGGACAGACCAGGGTTAGGAGTCTCTAGGAGGGTAGAATTAAATGATGTTTTGCAGAGTCCAGATGTTTCTAGGGAGGCTGGTAGCTCTGAAGGGGATGACAATACCTTGCCACTTGGGTGTTTCGTCCCTGTGGCTTTGCTTAAGCTCTCTGACCTGGCAGTTGGAGGGTGCAAGGGCAGCAGCAACAGAGGCCTTGGTGCTCTTGCCCATAGGCACATCCGCTTGCTCAGGGTCGGCTGCTCACAAAGGCCCTGCTTCCCTTTCCTTTTGGGGAGGAAGGACATGAAGTCCCCTTGTATGCCACTGTAGATATTTGAGCAAATAGACATGAGTGTCAGTAACTCCCTGGAGATGATGATCTCCAAAGTCTGTGGTAAGGAGCAGCTGCAGAGAGAGTGGTGCCAACAGGGTGCACTAATGGTAAAGCAAGAAAGCCAGTTGGAGGTCAAACTTGAGAGTTTTGAGAAAAATGACACTGCTTCTTTGACTTCTGGAAGCCAAATGGAAGAACAGTCAGAAGATCTTAATGTGCAAGAGCCATGAAGTGTGCATATTTGTGGGGATGTGTATGTGTGCTATCTGTGAGGCTCTTTGTGGTTGTAAGGAGATCCACTGTGTGCAGTGTAGTGTGTGTGCGTGTGTGTGTGTGTGAGAGAGAGATGGTTCCCGTGTTTTGTACTCAGTGTTGTGCCATAAAATACCAATCGTCCTGGTGTGTCTTTGCCCCTTCCTGTCAATTCTACTTCAAACTGTGTGAAGCTGTGCTTAGATGTCAATGCACATTTCTCTGTTTTCCTGCACATGAATCTAAGCTTGCCTTCAAATTCATTATCTTTGCAGGAGAATGTAGTTCTGTGCTGATCCATATATGAGTGGATGTTGGGCTCTATGTGCCAGTTTCCCTGTGCTTTGCCTCTCTCAATGTCACGTATACAGTAAGCCCTTATTTTAAGTTGGATGCATAGCACTGAAACTGCGTTATCAGGTTGTGTGCTTCTGCCAGAGGCCATTTAGAGGGTGCCCTCAGAGCAGGGAGGGTTCTGAGGGCTCTTCCAAATTTTTTATTGGTTCCCATCTTTGTGAGGGCTGTGGGTTCTGGGGCTGGGATCTTAGACTCCTAGTTTGTGCCCTCGGGGGCAGGAGAGGGTGCGTCTGGGCTGGCGTTCCGGAGGAAGACAACCTATCCTGAACTTCTCCTTTCTTCTCCCCCTCCCTTCTTCCTTTGTTTGCAGATCGAGATTGAGAATTCACTGCAGTTACCACAATGGGCAGCAAAACCTTGCCAGCCCCAGTGCCCATACACCCATCCCTTCAGCTCACCAACTACTCCTTCCTTCAGGCAGTGAACGGCCTGCCCACAGTGCCCTCGGACCACCTGCCCAACCTGTATGGCTTCAGTGCATTGCACGCTGTGCACCTGCACCAGTGGACGCTGGGCTACCCGGCCATGCACTTGCCACGCTCCTCTTTCTCCAAAGTACCAGGTGCGGTGTCCAGCCTGGTGGACGCGCGCTTCCAGCTGCCCGCCTTTCCCTGGTTCCCTCATGTCATCCAGCCCAAGCCTGAGATCACCACTGGAGGCAGCGGCCCAGCGCTCAAGACCAAGCCACGCTTTGATTTTGCCAACCTGGCCTTGGCTGCTACACAGGAAGATCCGTCCAAGCTTGGCCGGGGTGAGGGTCCTGGCTCACCCACAGGAGGGCTGGGGGCCCTCCTGGATGTGACCAAGCTGTCTCCAGAAAAGAAGCCCACCAGGGGACGCCTGCCTTCCAAGACCAAGAAGGAGTTCGTCTGCAAGTTCTGCGGCCGCCACTTCACCAAATCCTACAACCTTCTAATCCATGAGCGCACACACACCGACGAGCGGCCCTACACCTGTGACATCTGTCACAAAGCCTTCCGGAGGCAAGATCACCTCCGGGACCACAGGTGCGGCGCTGCGGGTGGCCTGAGAGGGAGCTCTCTGCCCTTGGATTCGGAGATCTTCCTCCCTAATGAGGTTCCTGAGATCCCTCCTAGGGTCTCCAAGCCATCCCACCTTCTGAGAGTTTCCTAAAATCAGGAGGGAACCCAGAGAGGGCTCAGGGATAGACTGTGGGTGGAGGAAACACAGGGATGAAGGGGACCTAAGGGTAGTCAGGTCTCCATGAACTCTGCCTCACACACAGCCTACCCAGCCACTTCCTCCATCCTCAGAATCAAACCATACAAGTTTCTGTCACAATGGGAAAAATGACAGTTGAGCTCTTGAGATGTGCATTTAGTGTGCTTGAAGTTTCAGTTTTATGTACCATGTGGGCTGGTGGCTACCGTCTTGGACAAGATAAATGGTTGGATCCCAGCTCACTCCACTCACCTCCAGTGCTCCCGGGGTCTGTGCGTGCACCCCCCCCCCCCAGGCAGGTGGTCTCTCCTGTTGGATCTGCTTGGGGTCCCGGACCTTGCCAGGGCAACTCCTTCACAGCCGCTCCCCACTCCATCACCAACTGTGCGGTCTGCAGGACCCATACTCCGGCCCCCTACGCTTCCTCCCTCTCTTTGAGGGCGAGCATCTCTGGGTGGTGGGAGGGGATCCGCAGCGGTGTGTGGCCCTGCCCTGGGTCTCAAGGATTAACTGTGTCTTTCTGTCCTCAGATATATTCACTCCAAAGAGAAGCCTTTCAAGTGCCAAGAGTGTGGGAAAGGATTCTGCCAGTCCAGGACTCTCGCTGTCCACAAGACGCTACACTCACAGGTGAAGGAGCTCAAATCCTCCAAGATCAAGTGCTAAACGGAGCCTCCGGGCCTCCAGGACCCTGCGGCACGCCGCCCCCTCCTCCAGAGAGACCACAAGCAGGAGCCTTCTCCGGCAGGCAGCAGGAGGGGCGCTTGGGACCTCCCCCCACCCAGCAACGTCCCCTGGGCCCCCGGCGCGCACGCGGCACTCCAGAGCCCCGCCCAGGGCCTTGACCCCGACCGCCCGGGCGGCTCCCCCAGGACGCGGCTAAACTCTTGGCCAAAAGGCGGTACTCACGTGGCCGAAGGGAAACTGCATTTAAAAAAAAAGAAAAAAGGAAAAAAGAACGAAAGCTCCGCGGAGCCGCCGCGGCGCCTCTCCCAGAAGTATTACTTTTTCTATTGTTATTTTATACGTCTTCTTTATTATTTTTTTCTTTGACCATATAAGCTTGTAACTCTGCGGAGAGGGGAGCGAGGAGCCGAAGTTCGCGTGCTCGCAGCTTCCCTCCCCAGCCCCGGGAGCCTGCAAAAGTGTAATCCGTGTATCTGCTTCAGCGCCTGGCCCCAGGGACCGCAGGGCCGGCAGCGCCAGGGTCCAGCTCCGCCGCGCAGTGGGCGCGGGCCGGGCACCTCGGGCCGGGGGGTGCAGGCGGCCGGGCTTCCGGCGCCCTGCTTTGCCGCAGAGCCACCGCGAGCGAGCAGCCGGCCAGGAGCCGGGCGTTGTACTGCGTTTGGCACTTTACGCTGACCATCGGTAACGGACATTTATCACTGGAGTTTTTTGTTGTTGTTTGTTTTTTTAAAAAAACTATTAAATAAACGGTTATTTTACAGGCACTGCCGGGTGGGTAATGGCCCTGCTGCACTCAGGGCACCGGGGGACCCCAGTCTCCAAGAGGGGCAGGTTTCTGCTCTCGACCCCAACCTGTCCTACTCCCCTACCCCTGCGCAGCAGCGCGACGGGGCTGTGGTGGGGAGAAGCCCCTCTCTCCTGGGGGGTCGTCTTCCTCTGCCCCACTGCACATTTCTTTTCGTGTTCTTTTTAATACCCTTTGCTTGTCTTCCCACCCCTCACCGCCAAAGAGCTGTTAAGTCGAAAAAGACCCCGAGCCCACGAAACCCGTACCGGTTCGGGTGCCCGGCTCGCTCAGGAACCACTAAGGGGACAGACACCGGCGCCTCTCCGGTCCCCAAGGCCTCGCCCTTGGTGTAGCTTCTGCTTTGGGGTGGGACGGACCTGCGCTCGCAGAGCCCCCAGGGCTGCGCCAGCCCCGGCTCCCCCAGGAACCCCCACACCGGGCTGCACATACTGGGTCGACGGTGCCTCCCACAACCCCCCAACCTCTTCCCTTAGGCCTCCGCAAACACAACACAACGTGCACGGGCCGGGACCTGTGCGCTCGCGGGATCCCCGCTCCACACTCGCGAAGGCTGCCTCGCTTTAAAACCGGGTCAGGAATGGCGGGGGCGGGCGCCCCGGGAGGCCCCAGGCGCTTAGGAAGAGAAACCTGAGTCCGCTCAGCGCAAGTCGCACCTTCCCCAGGGCGTCTACTTTTCCACTTAGAGAGGCCAGGCCGCCGCGGGGCTCCCCTGGGCAGGGCCCTCCTAGCTCCAGGGCCCCGGACCGAGGAACCGCGCGAGCGGTGGCGCCCGCGGCCTTTCCCAAGCCGCGCGTGTCCTCCCGGGCTTTAGCGGGCTGCGCACAACGGCCGCGGAGGCTGCGGAGAGGAGGGACCCTGCAGCGGTGGCCTGCGGGCAGAGAGGACGGTCGGGACGGCGGCGCTTAAACCTCCTCTCACCGACCGCCTCAACCGCATCTCCTTTGGAAACTCTCTCAGGCCCAGCGCGGGATACGACTCCGCGCCCAGGGAACTCGACTTGGCGTGGTGAAGCCGGGCCCTCCGCGTTCGGAGCCGCGCTGCCCCCTGCTGGACAGACCTGGAGGGGCGGTCCAGGGCTGGGACGCCTTATAGGGTCCGGCCCGCAACCCCACCGAAAGCGTGTCCCTGTCCCTGCCGATCACCGCCTGGGTGTGGCACCGCCCTCAAACCCTCTCGACCGGTCCCAGGCTCGCTGCGAGTGGGCTCAGGACTGGCCTTTGGGATCTGTTGTCGGGCAAGTTTCCAATTTCTCCCACCCGGACCCCTAAGAGACGCCGTCCAGGACAGAACGAAGCCCCGATGCCTGGCATTGGGACCACCTCCGGGTGAGCGGAAGAAAGGTTTCAGTCTGTAGGTCTCGGGCGTCAATTTGCCTGGGCCCATCCAGCACCAGGGTATGGTCAGCGCGAGGCCACGGCCTGTGCTCGGGCCGACTGCGGGTGCTGCACGGGTGCTTTTAGGAGGCCCGCAAGATTGAGGCCGTGGTCGCCGCAAGACGACGAAAGAGCGTGGGTGCACGAGCACAAACAGGCGCAACAGCCAGGGACTGCGTTGGGGCGTCTGAGGTCCCGCGTAAAATGCGCCCCGCGCTGTCCCCGTGCCCTTTCCGGGGCACTGACCCCCGCCGCGGTTTCCCTCCACCACCCAGGATACGCGGAGCCACTGCAGCTGGCCTGGGCTGGGACATCAGGATTGCGGCGAAAGGAGAGGTTTTTTCTTTTCTGGCACCGCGAACAGAGAGAGGCTCTCAGGATCAAGCGCGCATCCTGGGGAGGGCGGATTCCCAGTGCATTGTGTTGACGGGGGAGGGGAGGACAGGGGGCGGGTGCAGGGTGCTGCCCAGAGACCCCAGCCCCCTTCTAATGCCTCGGCTTCCCTACCCACGGCTGCTGTCATTCTGGTGGGTCCACGGCACCGATTCACTTATGGCGAAGAAACAGCAACTGCAGGTGGAAAGGCGGGCGGGGGCCCGGGGCTCCGATTCCCAGGCCGAGTGCTTGGCGGGAGGGGGGAGGGAGCGTTTCCCACCCACGCTAACTGGGGGTCGCATATACAGCGCTACCCAGAGGGCCGGAAGCGCCGGGTGTGTTCCCTCGCCTGCTCCAGTTCTTCTCCGCTACCCCCTGGGAAGTCTCAGGTCCCTTCTCTGCTCGCACACCTCACCTCCCAGCAGCGAGCTCTGCGGCCCGGGAGGCCAGCGCGCTCTAGGGCCGGTGGGCAGCGGCGGCAGGGGCAGCAGGGGCAGCAGGGGAGGCTGGGGCCGCTGGCCGGCAGGGGCCCTTCCCTGAACCGCCGGGCGCGCGGTGCGTGCGTGCGCGGGGACAAGGCTGGGCTGTGGACGTGTGGGCGGCAAGGGCGACCCTGGGCGCAGCCTGGCGCAGTCGGGGACCCGCTCTGCCAGGAGCTCAGGAGCGCTGGGGAACGCACCCAGGAAGAAGCGGTTGCGGTGCCGCCGCCTCCGCCCTGACGGCAGCGGGGGCGGGGGGCGCACAGAACTTTTCCCCGCGTGACCCCCTTGCTGCGGGAAGCAGGGGTCGGGGTACCCCAGCGCCACAAACGTGGGTCCTACGATGTCCTAAGTTCCCCAGAATCTTGGCGTCAAAGGCAGCCCAACCTCCCCCACACACTCCCGGCACTACAAGCACCGTGACGTCAGTGCTCCTTCTACAGCGGCATCCCTTGCACGCTGTCTCATGACGTCACGCACGGACACGCTTCCCGGCCCCGCCCACGGAGGCGCCCAGGGAACAGTTCATCCGCGGGACCAGGATCCGCAGACCCGCGGACGGGTGCCCCAAGTGAACGGCGCTGCCGGGCAGGCGGTTTAGCGCGGTCTCCCCGCCCGGCCAGCGCGGTTTCCGGGCACCGGCGGCCGCGGCCCAGGCGCCCCGCCCTCTCCACGCGCCTCCCGGCTCACGGCGCATGCTCGGCGCGCAGGCGCAGAAGGACTCACCGGCCCGGGCGGCAGGTGCCGCTGCCTGAGGGCTCGCAGAAGTGCTTAGTTAGCTTTGCTCTCTGGGACGCTGGCTTGGCGAGCGCGCCTGTCGGCTGGCGTCTGTGAACGCTAGAGATGCAGATGAAGGTTCGTGCGAGCTGGAGACCCTGGGCTTGAGACCTTCTGAGGTCTTCAGACCCAGTGAAGGTGACCGGTGTTGCTGGGATGCGAGCCGTCAGGGCGCAGGCCCTGTCCTGGGTCAGAAAGCCCATTGCGGTCCTAGCCGCAGACTTCATTGCCACCGCTCCGAAGCAGCCTCGGCCCCCAGCCTCCGTACTATGCATCTTGGCCTCTCACCCCACTCTTTGTCTCCTTGACTTGGGCCTCCTGCAGAGCCGAGCCCCTGTGCTCTGTTTCCCATGACAGTGTCTCTACAGCCCTAAGATACTAGGTTGGGAAGTGGCAGAAAAAGGTATAGAAACTGTGGAGATGCGAGGCTGCGTTCTAGCTTTTTCCTGACACACACTCTGGGTGACTCTGCTCAGGGCCTTGGATTCATTCCTGAAACGGGATAATGCTCCGTGTTGTCAATAGTGCATTCATTGTTGAACCCCAAACTGGGCCCTGACGTGTTGCAAAGCCACTTTGGTGCTTGTGGAGCACCGTGTAAAGGCATTGGAAGTGCTTCTCCCGGTATCCTGCTATAGGTTCGTCTCCCAGGCTGGCCTATTCTAGGAGTCTCCGTCTTCACTGTATCACGACCCAGGGGTCCTGGAATGGGATGAGAGAGGGAGACCGTTTGAGCTGGTGATCTCTGAAGTTTTTGGGGAAACTTGAATGAAGCCTTTTCTTGAATACCAGTGGATTAATCAATCCCAAAATCGTTTGGTTGGAAAGGGGAATCGGCATTGTGTGAGTCCTACTCACCCCTGATGTGTGGCACAGGGAATCAAAAGCAACCTGGGGCAGAGGAAGGAGCTTGTGTGTGAAGCCAGTGTGATGGACACTCCAACGCTGGCTTGCAAGAGTAGTGGCAGATCCCCAAGGACTTGTACTTTCTCTGACCTGTGCTAGAGCATCTGAACCTACAGGAAAGGTGTTCACCAATGCTGTTTCATGGAGATATCTGGAAAAAAAAAAAAAGATTTTCTTTTCACCGAGTCAGCCCAGTCCTGGCTCTGTGCTGCTAGTCTCCACCGTTTCCTCTGGACAGTGCTAGTTAAGTACCAATTACAATATAGAAAGACTAAGCCAGAAATCAGGAGTGGATAGATCAATGGGTTGAGAGTATTTGTTTCTCTCTTGCTTTAAAAAGATTCATTTATTTATTTGAAAGCAAAGTTGGAGGGGGCAGAGGGAGAAGGAAGCAGAGGGAGAAAGAGGAGGAGGAGACAGAAATCTTCCATTATTTAACGCATATTTAGCTGGTTCACTCTCCAAATGGTCTCAATGGCTGGGGCTGGGCCAGGCCAAAGCCAGGAGCCTGGAACTCATCTGGGTTTCCCACATGGGTGGCAGGTGCCCAGGTACTTAGGCTGTCTTCCACTGCTTTCCCAGGCATATTAGAAGGGAGCTGAATTGGAAGTGGAGCACCCAGGACTCCAACTGGCACACTAGCCGGTTTTGTAATGGTGGCTTAACCTGCTGTGCCACGATGCGCACAGGACCCATTGTTTCCCTTTGCTAAACTCTGTGCAGTTTCTCATCAGCTGTACGGTCTCTGGGTATGTGTGAAGCATCATTAATTCTTTTCAAATATTCAGTTTGATTCAACTCTTGCTAATGAGATAAGCAGCTTTTGTTATCATTAAAGTGGAGATGGTTGCTTTCTATCCTTTGCAGGCATAAGTACTGCTTGGAGCCTTTAGGTAGGTGGTGGCACGAGATGAGAAACTTTATAGGGGACATGGAAGGAAGCCAGATGACATGAAGCAGAATGGCTAGACTTAACCTTTCAGACAACCAGAGAAGCAAAGCGAGCTTCCTGGAAATTTGGGCATTGCATTAAATAATGAGACTTAGAAGGTTGGTCTGCTTATTAACTTGGGTCAAGTCAAATGTCTTTGTGTAGCATGAGCTCGGAATTGTTTTAGTGATTCAGAGCACGTGGAGGTCTACCTCCTGTAGTTGTGTAGTAGGGCAGAGACCACTGTGGTGTTGTAGCTATCAGAAACTGTGTGGCTTTGTCTTTGGAGAGATCAGCCAACAATGAAACATTTGAGCATGGGCACTCGAAGATGGTGGAGAAACTGGAAGAGTCATGATTAACAGAAGGATCCATGTATCCATAAGGCCTGGATTTTTTATAAAGTTTATATATTTTATATTTGTTTATTTCTGTGTGTATTAATTCCTAACTCTGATACTTTAGTGTGTATCAGAAACTCCTACTATGATGATGGATCTTCTTACCTATTGTTCAGTCATGTATGTCTATTTATTTACATCTAACGGTGATAACATACATTGCTATTAATGGCTACTCTCTCATTTTACATTTTTAGTTGTCTCACCTTTTATGGCTCTTTTTTGACAACTTCTGATTTAAATGATAAGCCTTAGCTCAATTGCTTTAGTGATTACTCTTAAATGTTTAACATGTTTTCTTAGATTGAAGTCCCAAGATAATAATGTCACTTTAATTCCAATCATACCTGACAAGATCCCAGTTTATATGTTACTCAAAATACTTTTGGCTGTTTTGCCACGCTCACTCATTTCACAATTCCGGATGCTTACTCAAGAGGCATTAATCACTTTGCATTTTAGGTAATTTCTGGGAAAAGCAGCGTATCCATGAATCCAGGCTGGCCTAGCTCAGTCTTGTCTCTCCTTGACAGTCAGCCATACTCTCAGGGACTGCTCGTGTGATGGTTCGGACAGTGACAATGTAGGCAGGCAGTGCTAGGGTTTCTCTAACCAGGCAGTCAGGCAAATAATTTCTGTTCCAGTTGTCATGAGTATGTGTTTTACTGGACCAAGGAGGATAAGAAATATTAGAAGAAGGCATTGTGTTGTGATCCTTCCCTCAACATTTTAAGCATTTTCAAACAGAAAAAATAGTTTTGTAGTGACCACCCAATTACCTACCACCTAGATTCTGTTATTAACATGTTACTATACTTGCTTTATCACATATCTATCCATTAATTAAACCTGCCAGTTTTTTCAATGCAAAATGACAAACACACAGAATAATTAGAAAAACAGTCCTTGGAACACCTTCAGATCTTCCTCAAGGAGTGAGTAATTAGCAAACTGTTAAATTTGTTTCGTTGCCATTCTTTCTTGTTTAATCATTTGAAAATTCCACACTTTACTATGTTTCATGTGTATTTCAACGTGTATCCCTTAGGAATGAAGATACTATTCTGTACCACATTATTATCATGTTGAAGAAAATTCACAGTGGTTTTATAGCATCAACCTTCTTATCAGTGTTACATTTCCCTCAATTTTACACTCATTTGAATATTTTAAAAAATACCAAAGTTTCACACTGTGTTTATGCTTTAGTATCTTTTAATCTAGACTAGTCCCTGTTGTGAAAAACTTTTTATTTTGAAATATATACAGATTATAGGAAGTTGCAAGAATAGTAAAGAGAGGTTCCATGTGCCATCATTCAGTTTCTTCCAATGGTTATGTCTTTCAGAATGACAGTATAAAGTCTTAACCAGAACATTGATATTGGCTCAATGTGTGTGTATAGTTTTACCAAGTGTGTGAATTCTAACAACCACCAGAGTGAAGGTAGAGAACCATTTCATCAACACAGAGGTCTACTGTGTCAACACCTCACCAGTTTGAGTTGACTACAGAAAACTGACCTTTCTTTATGGCCCTTTATCCTCTCTGTCTATGACATTGTTGTCTTAACTAATTTCTTCTACATACATCACTGAGAACCACTTTAGACAATGCTATACTTCTTGCTTCAACCATCATAATTAGACAACTCAAGAGGATAGGGAGAGTTTATTGAACTTAGCCTTGTTTTTGATTTTCCTATTGTTCTTTCTTCCTTCCGGATGTTTCAAGTTCCCTTCTTTTATTATTTCCTTTCCATTTTGAGAATTTAAAAAAGCCGTTCTTGTGGAGAAGGTCTGCATCTGACAACGTCTCTTCGTTTTCTTTTGTCATTTCTCTCATTCCTGAAGAATAACTTCATAGGTACACAGTTCTGGGTTGACACTTGAGCACTTGAAAATGTTATTGCTTGTTTCTGGCTTTCATAGATTCTGATGAGAAATCTGTTATTTGAATTGTTTTTCCTTTGTACACGTATGTGTCATATCTTCCTTGCTCTTTTTAGGATAATTTTATGATCTTTAATTTTTTAAATTTGAAGATATTTGATTATAATGGTTCTTGGTGTAGGTTTCTTTGAGTTTTCTCTGATTTTTCAATCTGTAGGTTTCTGTCTTTTCCCATATTTTATAAGTTTTTCAGTCCTTATTTCTTCACATACATTTTCAGCTCCCCTCACTACTCTACTTCCAAGATTCCAATGACATAAATATTAGAACTCTGTTACAGCCCCACAGATTTCTGAAAATCTGTTCATATTTATTTAAGTCTCTTTATTATCTGCTGTTCACAATGGGCAATTGTTATTGTCCTGTCTTACAATTAATTGATTCTTTCCTCTGATTCCTTCATTTTTCTGTTGAAGCCATTGTATCCATTGTTTTTGTTCTGAAAATTTCAATTTTAATGTTTTTTGTTTCTAATATTCTGCACACTTCTTTATATATTTTGTTTCTTTGTTGGAATTTTCTAATTTTCATTATCTTCAAGTATTTGCAATTGCTTGTTGAAATGGTCTTATGATTGCTTTAAAATTCTTGTTAGTCAATAATTCCAACATTTGTGTCATCTTGATTTTGATTTTGGTGCCTGTTGTCTTTTCTCTTGCAAGTTAAGATTTTCCTGGCTTTTGGTATAATGTGGTTTTCAGTCATCTCCTTGAATTTTTGGTATTATGTTTTGAGGCTCTGGATCTTATTTAAGTCTATTTTAGCATGTTTTCTCTAACACTGTGCTCGTGGGAGAAGAAGGAGGTGCCGTTTGCTGCTACCAAGAGTGGCTGAGTGTAAGGCTCTCTAAGTGTTGCCTCTGAGGATATTTCCAAGGCTGAAAGCAAGAGCTATGTCTTCACTGCTCCGCATGTGGCTTCTGCTGGGGGGCAGGGGACAGGCCTGTGTCTCTGTGGGACTTGGGTCCTCTTATTCTTCTCAAATACCCCCAGGGTGGATCAGGCAGAGGCACTTTGTTACAATCAGACAAGGAAGGCACTCAAAGCTCTCTGCCAAATTTTTCTAACTGCTAGACGGGGGCTTCTTGATTTTCTGTCTTGTTACATAAGTGAGTGAATATTGGTGTAAATATATGTTAAGTGATGGACGAATTCCTCCATAAATTCTTACCTTCTGGGGGTACTTCCTTCTCTTTTTGTTGTTCTAAGCTGATCCTGGGCTGTCACTCTAATGTATTATGCTGTTTTCTATTTTACAATGCACAATCATCACTTCATATTTTGACATAAAATGCTCTGGAGTGGTTCTCTTATTGTACAATCTTTGCTCTCAAATGTTAGTATTTAGGGTCCCTGTGGATAAAGAAGAACAATTTTTATTTTTAGATTGGCTGCAACTTTTTTATTTTGACTCAGTAAAATTGAGTCTTTATTATTTTGTTTATGAAAGAAAAAATATAATGGAACTATTGGCTAGGAACATGGTTTTCTTTTATACCTTATTCCCTTGCCTGGTTTTCAGATCATAATTTTTTAAAATATAAGTTTGTCCATAGAATTTTAAGCCTCATTAAATTTTTGGCAATGGAGCTTCAGGGATCTGTTTAAATTTTTCTAAAATACCAAGTTGGTTTCCTTCAGTGTCAAAATGTTTCCTAAATGGATAGAATTTTTTTCTGTTCTAAACTCATTCCTCATGGAATTCTTGGTGTTGCCTTGGTCAGGAAGTGAAATAATTATTTATGCAAATGCTTCTTTTGGTTGATATTATTTATTGGTTAAGATATTTATCTTTGGTAGAATGCAGTGTGAATGTAGATACTCTGGTTTAAATGGTTTGCTTCCTCTGAAACTGATGCCGGAGTTTAATACCCATTGTGAGATATGCAGAGGGTGGACACTGAATCTGATGCTGCTAATTTAGAGGTGGAGCCTTGGGAAGGTAATTAGGATTAGATAAGATCCCAAGTGCAGGCCCCAGGATTGAACACTGTGGGTTTTTTATTTTAGTTTTTAAAAGATTTATTATAATCCACAGATCCAGTTCTAGGATTATGATGATATTCCCTTCCTCCTCCCTCCCCGTCTCTCTCTTATCCTCTCTCCCTCCCTGTCTCTCTCTCTCCTTCCTTCCTTCCTTCCTTCCATATTTTAATTTGCATTATAATTTCCTCTTAAATTAAAAAAGAAAATTAAAGGGGCCGGCACTGTGGCGCAGCCGGTTAACACCCTGGTCTAAAGCGCCAGAATGCCATATGGGTGCTAGTTCAAGTCCTGGCTGCTCCACTTCCCATCCAGCTCTCTGCTATGGCCTGGGAAAGCAGTAGAAGATGGCCCAAGTCCTTGGGCCCTGCACCCGCATGGGAGACCTGGAAGAAGCTCCTGGCTCCTGGCTTTGGATTGGCGCAGCTCCAGCCGTTGCGGCCATCTGGGGAGTGAACCAACGGACGGAAGACCTCTCTCTCTCTCTCTCTCTGCGCCTCTCATCTCTCTGTGTAATTCTTTCAAGTAAATAAATCTTAAAAAAAAAAGAAAATTAAAAATGAAAATATTTAAAGGAATGAAAAAAGGAAGAAATGCCTATGTATATTAGTACTGATGCAAATATAGTTTTGTCAATCTTTGTTTTATACCTTTGTCAAACCGATGGTTAACAACACTTTTTTTTTCTTTTTTTTTGCCAGGCAGAGTGGACAGTGTGAGAGAGAGTGACAGAGAAGAAGGTCTTCCTTTTCCATTGGTTCACCCCGCGATAGCTGCTGCTGTGGCCAGTGCACTGCGCTGATCTGAAGCCAGGAGCCGTGTACTTCTCCCGGTCTCCCATGCGGGTGCAGGGCCCAAGCACTTGGGCCATCCTCCACTGCACTCCTGGGCCACAGCAGAGAGCTGGACTGGAAGAGGAGCAACCGGGACAGAATCCGGCACCCCGACCGGGACTAGAACCCGGTATGTCGGCGCCGCAGGCGGAGGATTAGCCTATTGAGCCGCGGCGCCGGCCAACAGTGTGGTTTTTTAAGAGATAATGAGAAACCAGAATTTACACATGTGTGTGCTCCCTGTCTCTCCTCATAAGATGCCCTGCACCACCTAGGAACTCTGACAGCAAGAAGGCCATCACCAGGGGAGGCCCCTCAACCTTGAACTAGAACTGTGAGCCAACCAAAAAAGCTTATTTTCTCTACCACTTACTGGTCCGTGGTACTGTGTTATTAGCAACAGAAAACAGACTAAGACCTTAGGTATCATATAAATTGAGAGAAGCAATTCCTGCCTTTTCCAGATGCTTATTACAGCATGATGTTTATTTCTGCAGGTCTGAGTGGACTTCAGTTGATCACCTGGGTAAAAGGAATTTGGAAGCAGTAAGCCTCTGTCTCCAAACAAATTTTATTACTGAACATCACTGGGTCACTTCCAGCTGGGTGAGTGTAATCCCTTAGTATCTCAGGACCTCAATTCTTACCTATCAATTACAATAAAAATGCCTGTCGTTTCTAACTTCAACAGTTTCTGCTGGAGAAAGTTTAAATGAGTGCCACAAGTGTGGCTAATACTACTATAGACTGTCTACCTCTTTTTATTTGGTCTTAAATACTATTTGGGAATGTTACCAGTATTTTGGCTACTTTGATCTCAAAAAGTCTTAGACAAACAATTAAAAAAAAAAAACTGGAGTAGGTATAATTTTTGATTTCAGTTTCGTTTCCAGGATTGACTATATCCATTTTTGTAATTAGTGAGAACCAAAATTATTTTTCCTTCCTGAATACTTGATTCTGTAGTTGTCCTGGAAATAGTTACGTCACTTGTGCAGATTCAGACGAAGAAAGTCTTGCACATGGCTTAGAATACTGTGTGGCAGACATACATGGATTAAAATTAAAATGAGTCTCATGTTTAGGAAATATGCAGAAGCATGTGGCTATTCTGACATGTCCCAAAAGCGCAATAAAACAAACCAATTGCTTTCAAAGTAAGAGCTATTACAAAAGCAAAAAAACAAAAAAAAAACAAAAAAAAACAAAAAAAAAACATTTTGAAATAATGAACATAAAGGTTTGAACTCTAAATATTTATTTCTAGAGAAACAAATGAAATCAGACACATTTCAGATTTCTGAGGAAGTGGGCTCCATGGCAGTAAGGCCATACCAACCGTATTGTTATGTTAAAATGAGCATTTTTCCTTAAGACCATCTGTAAGAGACAGGGAGCCCAACACCAACTCCATGATGAGTAGGAACTCTCTCCATCTCTAGATGGACTCTTGGACATGACAGGCAACTGTCAATTTTATCTTCTATTTATAATATTGAGGTTTGAAATTAGTGCACCAGAACAAGGTATGACCTAGACTTTAGTTGTGGGTATTAAAATCAGCTCACAGGGGCCAGTGCTGTGGCGTAGCCAGTAAAGCCGCTGCCTGCAGTGTTGGCATCCCATATGGGCACCAGTTTAGGTCCCGGATGCTCCACTGCTGAGCCGGCTCTCTGCTATGGCTTGGGAAAGCAGTAGAGGACAGCGCAAGTCCTCGGGCCCCTGCACCTTCGTGAGGAACCCAGAAGAAGATCCTGGCTCCTGGCTTCAGGTCAGCTCAGCTCCTGCTATTGGAGCCATCTGGGGAGTGAACCAGCAGATGGAAGATTCTCTTTCTCTCTCTCTCTCTCTCTGGCTCTGCCTTTCAAACAAATAAATAAATCTTTTTTAAAAAATGATCAGCTCACAATTGGATGTTAAACATAACTTTGAACTGACAGAGAACACATGTAAAACTGTCGCTCCCCGTCTTCGTGGAGGAACGACACAGGACCCTGCGTTGTTCTTTCGTCTGCTCGGCCCTCCCTGGGTTTGCTGCTGGTTCTTCCCGGGTTGGCTACCGTCCCTTCCACCTCTGTGGAAGGGCAGTTCCCCCTAGCCACTTTCCCCACTTCCGCGGGGGAGCGGCACACCGCCGGCCGGCTCTCTCGGGGGCTGCAAAGGTGTTCCCTCAGATGTTCCCTGAGATGTTCCCCGTGCATGTTATCCCTCTCCTCCTTTATAGTCCTCTTCCACCAATCCCAACTCTGCTACCCACACGCCGAGTACGCTGCTCTCCTCCAATCAGGAGCAAGTCCTACAGTTTATTGGTTGAACTGGAGGCAGCTGTGTAGAAGCTGTTTCTCCCTTCTCAGCGCCATATTGTGGGAAAGCAGATGCATAGAATAAGTCTTAATTCCAGTAACTTAGTCTAGTCCGAGTTGCTCCCCACAAAAACAATGTCTAGAGCTGTGTTTATGTGGCTAAGATAAATTTCCATACAGGTATGGGCCAGGAAAGCATGGAATGTGAATATCAGTCACAATCTGTTGGCTACAAAGAGGGCATCTCCAGAGCTGTTAGCGTAACTGTTGGGAAGCTGGTGAAAACCACTCTGTCCTTTCCAGCTTGTTGGTTTCATTGTTTCCCACAATAGGTGGATAATCCTTGACTGGCCTAGCTGATACCAGGTCCTCTAAGATGCTTAGAGCTCCCTTCCGTCCTGCACCCCAACATACAGCGAGAGAAATGGGTGCACAGCCAGCTTTGTGCAGCACTGGGCTCTGGACTAGGAAGCATGCCCTGGCCCTGGCTCATGAATAGACACTGTCTTGCTGAACGTATTTCTTGTGGCATGGGGATTTCAGAGACACATTTGGAAGTTTCTCTCCTCTTCCTCCTCCTCCTCCTTTTTTTTTTTTTTAATATTTACTTATTTATTTGAAAGACAGAGTGAGAGAGAGAGAGAGAGAGAGAGATCTTCTATCTCCTGTTTTACTACTCAAATAGCTGCAATAGCAGGGGCTGAGCTTGGCCAAAGCCAGAATCCAGGAACTTCAACCTGGTCTGCCACATGCAGAGGCCCAAGCACTTGGGCCATCTTCTGCTGCTTTCCTAAGCACATTAGTAGAGTGCTGACTCAGAAGTGGAGTAGCCAGGACTTGAACTAGTGCCCATATGGGATGCAGGTGTTGCAAGTAGCTGTTTGACCAGCCACACCACAATGCTGGCCTCATCTCTCTCATTTTTTTTAAAGATTTATTTATTTATACTTTGTAAGGCAGAGCTACAGAGAGGTAGAGACAGAGAGAGAGAGCGAGAGGTCTTCTATCTGCTGGTCCACTCCCCAGTTGGCTTCAAAGGCTGGAGCTGCGCCGACCCAAAGCCAGGAACCAGGAGCTTCCTCTGGATCTCCCACACAGTGTAGGGGCCCAAGGAATTGGGCCATCTTCTGCTGCTCTCCTAAACCATAACAGGGACCTGTATGGGAAGTAGAGCAGCTGGGGCTCGAACTGTCACCAATATGGGATGCTGGCACTGCAGGTGGTAGCTTTACCCTCTATGCCACAGCGCTGGCCCCCTTTCTCCTTCTAAAACCATCAAACCAACCAATAAACCAACCCACCAACCCTCATCTGCTTCCCTTCCCTCTCCCCTGGAGCCTAGAGTCCATCACTTTCTCATGAAAACCCATTCTTCCTTCGTGAGATATGATGTTCAGGATGCAGACATATGAGGAGAGCGTAGTCTGTGTAGCTATCATTTATCGAGTCCTTGTCATATTTAAGATGTGCTGAGAGATTTACAACTATGAGTATTATTATTCCTAGTTTTTAGATGAGGAAACTGAGCCTCAGAGGTGTACATTTGCACGGATGACAAAGTAAATCATAGAGGCATCCTTTAGATTCTTTAGAGTCCTCAACCCATGCACTCACAGGACCCTAGACTTCCTCTGTGTCACTGAGATTCACGGAAGGGTGGGCCTGTCTGAACTTCAGCCCCCTGCTGTGAGGGAAGCGAGCAGCTAAGAGAGAATGGGCAAGAGAAAGCCTTAGGCATCACCAGGTGTATGGAGTGCTGGCCCAGGAAGGATGATGGCTCAGGTCCCAGACTTGCCTTCAAGCACCAACTGGAGCCTGTTCTCCTGTCCCTGGGGTGCCCTGCCAGGGTGTCTTGTGCAGGACAGAGCCTGTTCTGAGAGCAGGAGTGGGAATGTGTGTGTGGAGACTTGGGGGACCCCTGTCTGCCCAGGGCTCTTACATTTCCATCAGAAGGGGGTGAGGTTCGTCTTACAGGGCAGGGTAATTTGCAGGATTTTCGCTGTCTCTGTCACTTCACTAGCTGCGACCTGAGCTTGTGAGCAGGAGAGTGTTGGAAAATCAAGGGCTGATAATGGAATGTGGAGCAAAGCCTCAGGGGTCTCTGGTTGCTGTCCTGTTAGTACCTGGCTGAGACTTGTCACTGCCTTGCAGAGTTTCACCTTTCAGTTAAGTCCTCTGTGCCAATGATTGTTGCTAAAACACTCAATGAGTGTTGCTAAAATATGATTGGAAAAGGGAGAAAAGTAAATTCGGCCACCTACAGTAGAATCTCCCAAGATACAGCCTCAAGCTCCTTTACCTTCAGTCTGGTCCAGGATCCCTTCCCTGGCATTCACTCTTCACGCTCCTCACTCTGCACTGCTTGTAGACCACAGGTTCCTTTAGGCCTTGAGATGATTCTGCTTTTCTCAGCAATCTCAGCGTCCTTGGTGGCACCTGAGCCGGGGTGGGGGGGTGTTCTGAGCTAATTTGGGATGTGGAGAAGGAACCTCTTGCTCGAGTTATGGAAATGTGAAAACTTCCTGGGAAATGGGGAATGTCTGGTTAATTGTGTTCTTGGAGGAAGTCTACTTCTGCGCATTTGAACTGAGGATATGTTTGTTAACCTGGAGCAGAAGGATCTGTCTGCTGCTCTGGCCAGGGTGATCAGGGTTACCTAGAAGATACAAGAGCTGTGCTTTGGGACAAAGCATGTATTGCTTTTTTTATGATTTATTTATTTTTTTGAAAGTCAGAGTTACACAAAGAGAGGACAGGCAGAGAGAGAGAGAGAGAGAAAGTTTTCCATCCAATGGTTTACTACCCAATTGGCTGCAATGGCTGGAGCTGCGCCAATCCAAAGCCAGGAGTCAGCGTGCAGGGGCCCAAGCACTTGGGTCATCCTCTACTGCTTTCCCAGGCCACAGCAGAGAGCTGGATCGGAAGTGCAGCAGCTGGGATGCAAACCGGCACCCATATGGGATGCCAGCACTTCAGGCCAGGGTATTAACCTACTGTGCCACAGCACCAGCCCCATGTATTGCTTTTTAAAAATAATTATATCTGCCAGCATAAAACCTGTCCCTTTTATTTCCATTTTACATTGTATTTAAAATAGAACATTTAATTTTAGATCCCACATGTAAAGGAGAACATGAATCAAAAATAAAATCAGGGACCAGTGTTGTGGCATAGTGGGTAAAGCTGCTGCCCATGATGCAAGCATCCCACATGGGGACTGTTTCGAGTCCCTGCCACTCCTCTTCCGATCCAGCTTCTAGCTAAGGTGCCTGGGAAAAGCAGAGAAGATGACTCAGATGTTCG